CTTCACACAAAAAACTAATTTCTTGATAGCCGGAAAAATTCAAAAAACGGAAGAGTGGTACCAGCTGTTGAGGGAATAAGCTTTTATAATTTATCTAGCAATGCTTGGGGCCAGTTTGGGTTCTTTTGCATGGTGGCAGTTTTAATGATTAATTATAAAAAAATAAAGTAGTCATTCAAATATTACAAAAAATAAAAAAAAAACTTAATGTTATTGTTATTTGGCACTGCTGAAGAGAAGGCGGGACACGAAAAATACTGATTTACCAGACCCATTCGAAATTTAATAAATCTTTGCAATTCAGTTAGTTTTCAAAACTGCTAAATTCATTGTACGTCATAATTTGAGGCTAACAAGTAATTACAACGTGCATCAAACACTGAAGGATATTGCTTGGGCGGAATTCCGACACAATAGGCCCTATCGCGATAGGAAAGGTTGTTCTTACTTACAGTATGCAAAGGCAAAAGTGAGCGTCAAAATTTCATTCTAATTTGCTCTCTGTGAGGGCAGCTGTTCGCTGGCAAGACTGTCGATGGCTGTTGACCCAAGGCTGTCGACCCACCACCTCCAACCACTGTCACCACTTACCGTTCTGAACTTCTGATCAGTACCTTTGTTCCCCTCCACTATCTTGGCCTCACAATCATCCCCGAGCTCCCTCTGGGCACTTACCAACCCCACCCTCAACCACGTCCTACCCCCAGTCACGCGATTCAGCCGCCAAACGCTGGGTAGTGCTACCCAGTATGTCTGGCAAAGCGCCAAGCAGTTCCGGCGAGTGATGCCGTGAAACAACGTTAGCAGAGATACTGGAGCGTTTTCCGAACACCGGCGGTCCACCAGCCGGGTTGTGTCGAGTTTTTTTAATTGCCTCATCCAAGCACCGAGCGTTGTGCACTTGCTGGCAAAGTACCGGGCAGTGTCAAGAGAGCATTAGCAGAGAAATGAAGATGCTCTTAAGAGCGGGCGAGCCAAGCCAAGCCGAGTTGTAGTAAATACCGTAAAAACTGATTAATTCATAAGTACTGCCGCGAAGAATTAGGGATGCGAAAAGATTGTCTTCGAGACGATAAAGATGAAACTGTGTGGGGAGTTGCGCTGTGCGGGCAGATGAACTAAGACTCTGACACCTATTTAACATGCAGAACAGCTTCCTAGACAGTAAAGTTGATAGTGAGAGCAAAATCAGTATAAAGTCTCAGTCA